TAATTAAGAACCTAAATTAATTTAATTAGTATTTATTAAAAAAAAAGGTTAAAATTTTATTGAATAAAAAATAGTTTTGGTGATTTTATTTTAAAAAAGGATTTTTTAATTGGTTAGTAAATTAAATAAAAATAAAAAATAATTAAAACAAAATAAATAAGATGAAAAGAAATGGGGTTTGGGCCTGATTATGGGAGTTTGAGAAGCAATTCTGAGGCCATTACACGCTGGCCTTGTTGACCTTTTCCTGATTCAGTGTGCATGAGTTGACTTGGATCATGGTAGACGTTCACCCTTGGACCACCAGATCTGGCCTTTGGCCATCTGGCTATTGCGTGGGCGATGGTACACGGTAGGCTACAGGTTCAAACATGTACTGGAATACCTAAAAGGGAAAAATATAGAGAAAGTGGGGGACCTGGGAATCAAACCCAGGTCCTGAGGGATATTGGGACGCACGCTTACCACTAGGCTGATTTGCTTTGCTTGTTAATAATATACAATAGAAATATAATAAAAGAAAACAAGTTAATGTGCCAGCAAAAACAAAACGCGCGAAAAACATTTGAATGGGCCAATGGATGAACGCCAGCTCTTCATCCCTGTCCTTCCTCTACTGTAATTTTACCTGCGGATTTGAATCTGCAACTAAAAACGCAAGCTCGTTCTAAAATCTTCCCTAGGTCACATGAATCAATTCCCAGAACATGGTTGGGTTCGTCTTGGTTCACTGATCAACATTATGCCCTTCTTGAGTCCTGATTTTTCCTGAAAAAGAAAACCGTAAAAAACAAAAATGCAACCCTAGCTATGGTGTTTTGGGGTTACATCGCCTATAAATGGAATTGGCTATTACAGAAGGTTAGCAAATGACATGGTGATCATGAATATGCAGTTAATTTTTGTTATAGATGCAAGAATAGATCAAACCGAATTCAAGAACCAAGGTGATTATCGTGACACTTACAGCGCTTGTGAAGGTCTGGGAATGCTTGCCTTTGATCCAGGAAGGTTGAGTGAACACCCAAGAAGCGTTTGGGACCGGTCTCAACTTCTGAAAATGTCTCTAGCTTGCACTTTGATCTCCCACTTTTTGTGAATTTTTTCACTTTTTGTTCTGCCTCTCTCCGCACTTGCCAACCCTTATTTCGATTCCTTTGGCTTGCTTATGTATGGTATAATGTGTTAGGGTAACAATTTTGGATTGAATCTCTCTAAATCAATGCATTGAAATTTGATTTGATTCACTCTTTACAACTTGCCAAATTTGCCAATTTTCAATCTTTTTGTACATGATATGGTGTGATCCGAATTTGATGATGCTAGTGATGATGATTAAAGCCTGAAACAACAAAAGAATCTCATGTAATCAAAGTTTTGGATTTTGTATGATTTAATTTGATTTAAAATGAGTAAATTCAATAAAAAATCAAATTAAATAATAAAAATAAAATATGGGCTCATGGCTGAAGCTAGGACACGTGTACAATGATGCAAGCTCAAATCAAATGGAAAAGAATGGGCCCATTTGACAAAATTTGAAGTTTTGGGGATAGTTGACTTTTGGCAATTTTGCAAAAATGGCCAACTTCAACAATGCATAACTTCTTCAATTTTGAACTTTTGGAAGTGTTCTTGGACTTTTTAGAAAGCTTGAGATGTCCTCTAACCAACCACTTTAGTTTCATCTCATGTTAATATTCCATTCTCAAGTTATAAGCTTTGGCAGAAAAGGTGTTTTTGTTGACTTTCAAAAATGACCTATAATGTCCAAATTCATAAATTCTTGTGAGTGAATTTCTTAATCTTGGGGGTATGAAGATGGATTGTAGAAAATTGCATCCTCTTCAAAATGAGCTTTGGATGGGTCATTTCTCATAAAGTATGAGAAAATTATGCTTGGTCAAAGTTGAGTTGACTTTTCCTGCAAAACCCTAATTTAGCAACTTTTGAGTCTTGATGAATTTTGAGCAATCCTTGATGAATCATGATCAACCCTTGATAAAATGATGAAATATCCTTCAAAATGAGAATGTTGACAAAAAATCTTGAAGTTTGACTGTTTGTAGGTCACAGTTGACTTTTGCCCTAACACAGTCGATTTTTGGATCCTTTAAGTAATTGACTGAGCAAACTTTCTCTGCAAGGCTTGAAACTTGACATGGATGATCTTGAGAACATATTAGGACATTAGGGAGCACTTGAGGTCATTTGGACTCAAAGATCTTGATGCAACACAAAAAATCTTGAAGTTTGATATGGTTGAAGGTGGTGGTGCGAGAGGTCAGGGTATACTACTAACTGAGCTTAAAAATCATTATGCAACTTTGGAATTAAACGAAAATTCCTCTGAGTAAGACAGGGTAATAAAAGCTAGAACTTATCTAATGATACTATTTGGAACCTTTTTATTTCCCGAAAGTACGGGAAATAGTGTAAATTTTACGTATTTAAATTTACTTAGAGATTTCGAAAAAACTAGAAAGTATATTTGGGGTTCTGCTATTTTAGCCCACCTATACAGTTCCTTGTGCAAAAATGCAATCAAGGAAAAATGTACATTTTACGGCTGCGCTTTTTTACTTCAAGCCTGGGGTTGGTGGAGGATGGAGTCCCTAAACCCCGTCAACAACAACACATTCGTTTTCCCGTACGCAACAAAGTAAGTTATCAAGTTATATAATTTATTATTGTTCATCTCTTCACCAAATATATGCTAAAAATAAAATATTTTTCATTTCCTTTAGGTATTGCGTGAGGGGTATGGATTACGGTAAGAATCCAAGATTCAATATCGCACTATACCGCAATCTATTGGATCACCTAGGCCCGGATGATGTACGTCATACCTTTCAACTTTTCTACTTTTAAATTATTTATATATTACGTTTTCATTAACCTGATTTAATTTTATGTGCAGTTTGTCTGGAGACCATGTTTGGGTTTGGGCCATGAACCAAACCCCGAGGATGCAGCAATTTGGAGCGCCAAGACTGCAATTATACGGTTCAATGTTGTGGAGATGCACCACAGCGACCGTGTGAAGATGCAGTTCGGAATGCATCAAGAGATACCCAATGATCCGACTTGTTTGTCCCCGTGGCATCTCAAAAGGGTCGACGCCCAGTGGGGTCTTACCAACTGGAAAGACTTTGCTCCAGAATGGGGTAAGATGTGGCAGAGGCGTCACTGACATGTCTTGTAATTCCCAGTTTTCCTCAATCATGGTAATATGCGACACACAGATCAGTATTTATCTTGGTACAGGTTGGTTAGTAACCCTGAAATGCACGTGTCTCATCCAAGGTATTTGGTTGACCCACGAACACAATGGGCACAACCCTCGTTTCCCCAACAACAAACCCAACACACATCAACCTCCCACCAACCCCCTGACGAAACAGAACAACAAACACCCAACCACAGTCGCCACCACAACACAATTACACCCAAATGCCCCACAACCAACCACAATCACCACCTCAGTACCAATACCCCCATATGCCTCACACCCAACCGCAATTCCAATCACAATACCAACACACCCGCATACCCCACACACAATTTCAGTCTTCTGTATATCCCAATATGGGCCGCTCAACATCCAGCCTTAGCCCTGATCTAGGAATGTCAGAAGATTATGAACCAACCGACCCAACTTACCATCAACCACAGTATCACCAAACCACCCAACATCCTCAATACCAAACACCCCAAGATCCATTTCCTTTCTACCCTCCGTACTCAGACGATCAATACTACAGACCCACCATGGAACCCCACCCACCGTTAACACGACTAAACTTTGAGGGTATGGATAACCGACTGTACCAAAGCGGATCTTCTAGATATGGAGATCTGACTGATTTCATGGATCCGGAACGCATTGACTTCGCTGGGCCATCGACCCTGCCACAACAGGAAACGCGACGACACCTAGCACGGGAAAGGAGAGGACGGGATGCGGAACCGGGGGTCATTACCGAGTTCCGGGGGACCACTGATTAATCTTTTTTTTAATCTGTATTTTTTTATGTAATACTTATGGGTGTAATCATTTTTTGTAAATAAAAAGTCAATTTTGTTGATCCTATATCGAATACGCAACGCACCGAATTGAAAAAAAAAACGCGAAAATTGCCCTAGAAATGCACTAAGGCGCCATCTCACTTGGCTTAGGGCAAGCCCTAAGCACCTAGGCGCCAAGTGAGATGGCGTATCCCCTTAAATAATAGGTGTAGGCGCCAAGTGAGATGGCTCCTCCTTTAGGGAGTCATCTGAAACATGGTTATTTGCGTAATTTTTTCTGAAACATGGTTATTTGCGGAAAAAAATTTTAATACCTGATTATTACAAAAAATAATCATCTCTGCCATGAAGTCTTAACTCTCAAATATGGGAATCAAAAAGACTTCGTTTCTCTTCTGTTTTGTTTCTTTTAGATTGTTTTGGGAACTATTTGTATTGTTTCTGGTGAATTTTAGCGGACTATGCCTTTTCATTTGGTATCTTTTGATTTGGTGTTGTTGAACTACCTCGAGAAAAATTGTTTTAATAAGAAGTACTATACAAGATTCAAATCCACGATAAGTCTGTGTCAAATCAACAAGAGTAACAATAGTCTGAAAGGCTACCAGCTAAATATCAACTTTATGAAACTAATATTTATTGCATTTCAAGCTAAGCTTATAAGCTAGTATTTATCACATTCACAGAAATCATCGTAGAAAGATACTGTCTTCCAAAAAAAGGCAGTAAATGAAAATGTACTCCCACAACTCTTACTAGTAAGGATCTCTTTAATTCTACCAACTACAAAAATAGTGTGTTCGGTTAAAACAATTAATGCCATAAATAAATTGACATGTCTTCCCAAGGCTATATATAATGAACAAATGACCTAGATATTCAATCATTTTAAGATGGATATACAATATTGGCTGTGGTTATCTGCCATTTCACTAGCAAGTTTTTTTTGTGTAAACACTTTATTGTGGAGAATGCATGAATTTTATTACAATCTCAAACAAAGAAACAAAGAGTTCCCTCTTCCTCCTGGTGATTTGGGATGGCCATTCATTGGCAATACGCTGGCCTTTCTTAAACACTTCTCATCTGGACATCCTGATTCATTCATCAGTAACATCGTTTCCAAGTACTCTCTTTTTTTAACTCTTGCAATGATTCTTGACACACATGCACATATTTTTTTTATATGATTTTTAATAAGTTTATTGAGTAACTGATGTATTTAATTTATATATAGATCAGATATAACAATTATTTAATAAATTTGATGGTCACTATGATCATTGGGCAATGCTCATGGAGAACTTCCTTCGATCCAAGGAATACTGGAGCTTGGTTGAAAATGGGATCCCTACAGCAGTTGGGGGTGCAGAATCAACTGAGGCACAAAGAAAAACTGTTGAAGATCAAAAACTCAAGGATTTAAAGGTAAAGAATTATCTTTTTCAAGCAATTGATAGATCTATCTTGGAGACAATCTTGAAGAAAGAAACGTCAAAGAACATTTGGGACTCAATGAAGCAGAAGTATCAAGGGACGGCAAGGGTTAAACGAGCACAACTACAAGCACTTCGAAGGGAATTTGAAATCTTGCAGATGAAAGCTGGAGAATCGGTGAACGAGTACTTTTCTCGAACCCTCACCATAGCCAACAAGATGAGAACCCATGGAGAGACTATGGGAGATGTTACTGTTATTGAAAAAATTTTGCGGTCCATGACTCCAAAATTCAACTATGTTGTTTGCTCTATTGAGGAGTCAAATGACATTGACGCCTTATCAGTCGACCAACTACAAAGTAGCTTGCTGGTGCATGAGCAACGCATGAATGTTCCTGTTATTGAAGAGCAAGCCTTGAAAGTAACCTATGAAAACAGATCAAGAGGCCGCGGTCGTGGTCGTGGAGGATTTCGCGGACGAGGTGGAGGAAGGGGCATGTCAAATTTTGACAAGTCCACTGTGGAGTGTTATTATTGCCATAAACTTGGTCATTTTCAATATGAATGTCCAAGCAAGGAGAGTGAAGTCAATTATGCAGAATTTCAAGAAGAAATGCTTTTGATGGCATCCGTGGAAAGTAAAGAATCAGATAAGGAAGAAGCATGGTTCATTGACTCAGGGTGTAGTAATCATATGTGTGGTAAGAAGGATGTATTCTCTGATTTGGATGAAAATTTTAGTGAAACTGTGAAGTTAGGAAACAATTCCAGCATGGCTGTGAAAGGAAAAGGAAATGTGAGATTTCAATTGAATGGAATCTCACATATCATTACTAGTGTGTTCTATGTTCCTGAGCTAAAGAACAACTTGTTGAGCATTGGTCAGCTACAAGAAAAGGGGCTAACTATCATTTTTCAACATGGAAAATGCAAGATCTATCATAAGGAGAAAGGCTTGATCATGGAAACTATAATGTCCTCAAACAGAATGTTCATTTTGCCGGTTAAGCCTCAGTCAAGTGTATCGGCTTGTTTCAACACAATTACTGAAGACTCAACTCAGTTATGGCACTGTAGATTTGGACATTTAGGCTTTAAAGGCTTAAGGATTCTTGAGCAAAAAGGGATGGTGAATGGTCTTCCACAACTCAAAACTCCCTCTAAAATTTGTAAAGACTGCCTTGCGGGAAAGCAACAGAGGGATCCATTTCCGAAAGTGAGCACGTGGAGAGCATCTCAAATCCTACAGTTGATACATGCTGACATATGCGGGCCTATTACACCAGCCACAAATAGCAAAAAGAGGTACCTAATTACTTTCATTGATGACTATAGTCGTAAAACATGGGTATATTTTTTAGTAGAAAAATCTGAAGCTTTTGACACTTTTAGAAGCTTTAAAAATCACGTGGAGAAAGAAACAAATATATTCATCAAATGCTTGCGTACTGACAGGGGTGGTGAATTTACATCACAAGAATTTAATGACTTTTGCAAGGATAATGGTATAAATAGGCAACTGACGGCTGCATATACACCACAGCAAAACGGTGTAGCCGAGAGGAAAAACAAAACCATTATGAACATGGTTCGTTGCATGCTGTATGAGAAACAAGTTCCAAGGAATTTTTGGCCCGAGGCTGTAAATTGGACTGTTCATGTGCTGAACCGATGTCCAACGGTTGCTGTGAAAAACAAGACTCCTGAAGAAGCTTGGAGTGATGTAAAGCCATCAGTTGAGTACTTTAGAGTCTTTGGATGTGTTTCGCATGTCCACATACCCGACAGAAAAAGAACAAAGCTAGACAGAAAAAGTACTAGTTGTGTTCTACTTGGAGTAAGTGAAGAATCAAAGGCATACAGGTTGTACGATCCAATTTCTCGTAAGATTATTGTTAGTAGAGATGTCGTTTTTGAAGAAGATAAAAGTTGGGACTGGAACAAAAGACATGAGGAAAACATCAAAGAAAATTTAGAATGGGAAGATGAACAAGATGAATCTGCCACTGCTGCAAGTGCAGAAAATGATACAAGCATCAATGAAGAAATACAAGGAGAACTTGATCACTCTGATTCAAACGAGTCAATTGAAGAGAGTCGGCAAGATTCAAATAGAAGAATAATACGACAACCTGTATGGATGAGGGATTATGAAAGTGGAGAAGGACTGTCAGAAGAAGAAGAAAACATGACTAACATGGCCATGTTTGCAGGTGCTGACCCAATTTCATTTGAAGAAGCTGTGAAGAGTGAAAAATGGAGAAATGCCATGAATTTGGAATTAGAATCAATAGAGAAGAATGACACTTGGGAGTTGACAAATTTACCGGTTGGTGGAAAGAAAATTGGAGTGAAATGGATATTCAAAACAAAGCTTAATGAGAATGGAGAAATAGACAAACACAAAGCGCGACTTGTAGCAAAAGGATATGCTCAAAAATATGGAGTTGATTATAATGAAGTCTTTGCACCGGTGGCAAGATTAGATACCATTCGACTAGTGCTTGCACTTGCTGCTCAAAGGGGATGGACCGTTTATCAGTTGGATGTAAAGTCGGCATTCTTGCACGGTGTACTAAATGAAGAAGTTTTTGTGGAACAGCCTTGCGGATATGAAATCAAGGGCAATGAGCATAAGGTGTACAAGTTAAAGAAAGCACTTTATGGACTGAAGCAAGCTCCACGAGCTTGGTACAGTCGCATAGAATCATATTTTTTGAAGGAAGGCTTTGAAAAATGCACTCATGAACACACTTTGTTTGTTAAGACAAGTGCTGGAGGTAAAATTCTAATTGTAAGCTTGTATGTTGATGATTTGATATTCACTGGCAATGATGAGTCAATGTATGTTGAATTCAAAAAATCCATGATGGTTGAGTTTGATATGACCGATTTGGGAAAAATGAGGTATTTTTTAGGTGTTGAAGTAATGCAAAAGAGTGAGGGCATATTCATTAGTCAAAAAAAATATGTGATGGAAGTATTGGAAAGATTTGGAATGGACAAAAGTAATTCTGTTCTAAATCCAATGGTTCCTGGAGAGAAGCTTCAAAAGGATCAAGATGGCATGAAGATTGATAGTACTTACTACAAGCAGATTGTAGGAAGTCTTATGTACTTAACGGCAACTCGACCGGATGTTATGTTTGCTGTTAGTCTCATAAGTAGATACATGGAGCATCCTACTAAACTACATTTGCAAGCAGCAACGAAAATCTTAAGATACTTAAGAGGGACAGCTGATTATGGTGTGTTTTACAAGAAGGGCGGAAATGAAGAATTAGTCGCGTACACGGATAGTGACTATGCGGGTGACTTGGATGATAGAAAAAGCACGTCGGGATATGTGTTTCTATTGAGCTCTGCTGCAATATCTTGGTTATCTAAAAAACAGCCTGTAGTATCTTTGTCTACTACAGAAGCAGAATTTATTGCTGCATCTACTTGTGCTTGTCAGGCTGTTTGGTTGAGAAAGATTTTGGAGAAGCTTGGACATACTCAAAACAGCTCAACAACTGTTTACTGCGACAGCAACTCAGCAATCAAGCTTGCTAAAAATCCTGTAATGCACGGTCGTAGCAAACATATCGATGTTCGATTCCATTTTCTTCGTGAACTCGCAAAGGATGGAACTATAGAACTAGTTCACTGCAATACTCAAGAACAAGTGGCCGATGTGATGACAAAGCCTTTGAAACTTGATGCTTTTGTGAAATTGCGCAACTTATTGGGAGTGTGTCAACCGCCAATAGTAAACTGATTGTTAAGTAACATTCAGTTTAAGGGAGGATGTTAAAATTGTTTTTTCTTTTATGTTAATTTACTGTCAGTTAGAATAAGCAATGTTAGTGCTGTTAGTGAGTTATTGCTTTTACCTATTCTCTTGCCACTATCCCACATTTTTAGTGTTTGTTAGAGTGGGCTATTTTTTCTCTGATTCAGTTTCTGTAAGGCTATTAAAGAGCCATTTCTTTTATTCAATTCAATCAGAAATATACTCCCTATTATTTTGTAAACACGTATCCTTTACAATATGTTCTAACATATGTTATTTGTTACAGATATGGACGAAATGGTATCTATAAGACTCATTTGTTTGGAAACCCTAGCGTTATAGTTTGTGAGGGTGAAATGTGTAAACGGATGTTGACAGATGATGAGACATTTAAAATCGGTTATCCAAAATCCACTATAGAAGTAGTGAGATGTAAATGTATTTGGAGTTTCTCTAAAGAAGAACACAGACGTTTTAGGCGCTTAATCTCGTCTCTTACAATGGGACATAATACATTAGAAACATATTTAACACGCATCGAGGACAATGTGATAAATTCTTTGGAGGAACTTTCTAGTATGAACCACCCGGTTGAGTTTTTGAAAGAGACGAAAAATATTTCCTTTAATATTATCATTGATATTTTGTTAGGCTCTTACAATCAACATATCATAAACAAAATCGGAAATTCTTTCACTGAAATGTATAGTGCTTTGTTCTCTATGCCCATTAATCTTCCTGGTTTTGCTTTTCGCAAAGGACTCATGGTAATTATTTCTTATATTTTCATATTCACTTTCATAATATTTTTACTAACATGATTTGATTAGCTTCATTATGATAGCAACTTCTTTTGATTAGGCACGTGAGAAGCTGGGGAAATTAGTTAAACCTATTGTGGAAGAAAGGAGATTGATGATAAAAAATGGTGAAAGAAAAGATCTACTTGATGTTCTTTTGCAAGCAAAAGATGAAGATGGTTGGAAACCTGAGGATGAGGATATTATTGACATATTGATAGGAATTGTACTTGCTGGCCACGAAGCTACAGCTAGTGGTATGATGTGGTCAATGATATATCTTACACAAAATCCACATACTTTGGAAAAGGCCAAGGTAAATTAAGTTTATGTCAAGTAAGATACATTAATATTATTAATTGAAGTACTCTTATTTTATAAAAAGATTGCTTTGAATTTCAATTTTATAAACCAGTGACTCAATAACATAAAAACATAATAAACAAATGATACGAAAAAATTTCTTAAATTCATAACATGTTGTTGATTAAAGAATGAATGTGTTGTTTGCAGAAGGAGCAGGAGGAAATCATGAAGACGAGACTGCCCACGCAGAAACATTTAAGTCTTAAATATATCAAGAAAATGAACTATCTTTCTCAAGTAAGTGGTATATTCATCGATTATAGTGTTGGATTATCCAATAATATTATTTTCATTAATAATATAATTTCTTTCTCTTTATTATAGTGTTTTTAGAAACTAATCTTCACTAATTAAAATTTTAAAAATAAACCATTGAATATACTTTATAGTGTTGGAATGTCTTACATTACAGGTAATCAACGAAATGATGCGCCTTACAAGTATGAACTTTGCAATTTTTCGAGAGGCAACAATTGACGTTAACATCAATGGTTTGTTGATATTCAACTTTTTTTTTTTTTAAGTTTCTCATATTTAATTTGAATAATAATATTTTTTTTAGATAACCTCTAGTTTCAACTCTATATTTTCAGGTTATACTATACCGAAAGGATGGAAAGTGTTAACTTGGATAAGAGCGATACATATGGATCCTACATATTATCCAAATCCAAATGAATTCAATCCATCTAGATGGGATGTGAGTTGTGTTGTAATATAATAATTTATATTTAAATAATAAAAGATTTATTAGTATATTAGTGATTTTTTTATATTACATGTTGCAGGATCACAATAAAGTTGGAAGCTTCTTTCCTTTTGGAGCTGGAAGTAGATATTGTCCTGGAAGTGATTTGGCTAAAATTGAAATTTCTATATTTCTACATTATTTCCTTCTTAATTATAAGTAAGATATTCTTTTAACTTTTTTTTAATTAGTAAAATGAAAGACTCTGAAATTATATGTAGATATATATTTTTTCAATTTTTTTAGTTAATTTAATTTTATAGTAGCAAAATTATTATTTATTTTTCATTTGAAAGAAATAAATTAGAAATTTAGCTCTATTTTTTCTACTAATTAATCTATTTTGTACAGGCTTGAGCTAGTGAATCCAAAATGTCCTATTACTAGTTTACCTTCACCCAAGCCCACAGATAATTGCCTTGCTAAGGTGATAAAGAATTCAAATATTGCATAATATTGAAGTGGGAAATAAATTTTCAAAGCTTCTTGGTTAGAAATAAACAGTTGCTTCATATTAGGCTACAAGTGGCCTATTATATTTTTTTTTTCCTTTGGTCTGTATTGTTTAAGACTTATTGAAGGAGGAATTTAAGAAGGAGGTTAAGGTTTGATATCTGCTACTTTTAATTTGTTTTGTTGTCAAACTTATAATGTTTCCTTTACTATTTCTTATGAAAAACTCAAACATCATTTCAACTTATAACAACATACTTCAAGCGCAGTTGAAATAATAGAAAAAGAAGAAGATATCTCATTACTACTAATAATTTATTTTACATTGGTTTTGTAAAGGGATATTACCTTGATTTTTTAAAGCATCTCCAATTGTGCTACTCATATTTGAGTTCTTTGTGGGACTCATTAAACCACATCATCTTGAATCAACTCACTCTATTTTTCACTTCAATGGTACAATTTTAAAAAATTTATATTGGGTCCCACAATTTTACTTTGTATATTAATATTTTATTCATACTAAATTTTATTTAATTTAAAATTGTTATTGGGTCCCACAATTGATTATTTTAATAATAAAAAAATATGAAGAACCGTTGCTTATATTTGTACCGTTCACCAGTTTGAACAACTTTTTTGTTGACAATTGAACTGGCAAATCAATCTGAAAAACCACCGTAGAGAAAGTTAAAGGTGATGTCTGAAAGTCCCAAGGAATTTTTGACTTGATTCAACTTTCTAGGGTTAGTCCTAGTTACTGCAACTATATGATGATTTCTTCCCTCTACTTCTGAGAGAGTTCCACTAACACTTTCCATTTCACGACCGGTATGCTAACTCTCACTCTGTTCGGCATTCTGGTTATCACTAGGCTTCACCCTACAGGTGATACTTCCACCCTTACTGAAATTGATGAAGGATTTATTACTTTTGATAAGGATTTTGCTGGTTTCACCAAGTATATGGAGCATTTTCACGCTAAGGATATCGACACGGTGTCTGATGAAGAGCATATCGCCTTTCTAGCCTTGTGGCTCTCTAAGTATATTTTCTGCAGTAGTTCTCTGAAGGTGGCCAAACATTTTATTGCATTGGAACATCACCTTCACATGGGTCAATACACTTTGTTGTACCCCAAAATTTTTCCTCCCATTCTACACAAGATATGCTTATTAGGGTCCTTAATTGCTCAAGATTGACCAAGAATTGACCAGACAAATTCTCCTCCTAAGCAATGAATTTTCAACTAGGGTTTTCATTTCTCACAAAGAATTTTGGTTTGCAAAGGCTTCAAATGATTTCCATGGCACCCTATATGCCTCAGCATAATGGTATAGCTGAAAGAAAGAAAAGAAGTGTATGGAACATGACGAGATGTATGTTGAGAGCTAATAATATGCCTAAGAGATTTTGGGTTGAAGCAGCTTCGACAAGTAGGATACTTGCCAATAGAAGAAGATGGCCGAAAAGATACTACATGAGGCTTGGACAGGGTCAAAGCCAAGTGTAAGTCATCTTAGAGTTTTTAGATCAATGTGTTTCAGGCATGTACCTGAACAATTGAGAAAGAGGTTGGATGATCGAAGTGAAGTCATGGTGCTCATAGGTTATACTTCGACTGGTGCATACAAGTTGTATTCACCGACTGAAGATAAACTAGTGATCAGTAGAGATGTTCTTGTAAACAAAAGCAAAGGGTGGGATTGAAGTCGAAGTTCAGTTCGAGAAGAATCAGACACGGTCACAATTGTGTTCGAAGAAGATGGTCAAAAAGACACTGCATGAGGCTTGGACAGGGTCGAAGCCAAATGTAAGTCATCTTAGAGTTTTTGGGATCAATGTGTTTCAGGAATATACCTGAATAATTGAGAAAGAAGCTGGATGATCAAAGTGAAGTCATGGTGCTCATAGGTCATCATTCAATTGGTGCATACAAGTTATATTCACCAATTAAAGATGAACTAATGATCAGTATAGATGTTCTTGTAAACAAAAGCAAAGGGTGGGATTGAAGTCGAACTTCAGTTCAACAAGAATCAGACACGGTCACAACTGTGTTCGAAGAAGATGGACAAAATGAAGCTTCGAAAAGTCAAAATGAACAAGGTGATACTTCGACTGGTAAAATTGAAGAACCACCTGTGCAGAAGGAAAGAAGATCCACAAGAACAAGAACTGAGTTTGACTAGGCTGATTGGATATGAGAGGTTTCCAGATCAAACAATTGATGCAGATGGTGACTTAATCGAAAAAGCCATGATGGTGAAGCCTTGAGAAATTCAAATTGGTGTGAAGTCATGAAAGAAGATCTTAGAGCTATCGAGAAGAAAAAAACTTGGGAGCTTGTCGATAGAACCAACAAAAAACCAATTGATGTGAAATGAAGCTACAATTCGAAACGAAAACCTAATGGGATGAAGCTTGTTGGGCTTGGACTGATTAGCTTCAGGCCCAAATTCGAGCAAGACACCAACCATAACATGTCTAGGTTCATTATGTTTCAATAATGGCAAGAAAATTATCAAAATGCCAACATTTCAAATCTTTTGATTTTGCTTTCAAATCCATGGTTAATGGTTGATTCATGACACATTTGTTCACCAAAACACCCCTATATAAATATAAGATCAAATCAAAAGCAGAGGACACGCACAAATTGCCTATCAAAGCTCCACACAAAAAATCATCAAAGTTGTGAAACTCCCAAAATCCTTCATCCATCCGAACCAGTGTTGCATTCGCGTTCTTCAGACTCCCATGAGTTTATTTCAGTCCATATCCACACCTGAAGTGCCCAGAAGCTAGCCAATCAAATCGCTTCACTTTGGTAAAACTCTATCTATCGAATCTCTTAATACATACAGCTTAAACTAATTCAACACGTATATTCTTGTCTATATCATTATTTTGATTTGTTCTAACGTAATACATGAGAGATTAGATGCAGAATTAGGGATTTACCAAGTTTAGGGCACAATCTGGATCGTGGCTCGAACTGAATGATATAGCCACGATCTGTCGAATCCAAGACCAGATTCGAACCCAAGTCTGGAATTTTGTTTTCCTAATAAGTTCCCTGCAGATCCAGTGTTCCCAGATCGAAGGAGTGCACCGTACACCATCATTTCCCTACTGCAAGATACTGGCCAATCCAGATCCAGTGCCCTCAACGTGCAGTCCATCATGCACTTTCGACAACCTCCCTCATTGGATCGAAAGGCAACCTGGGCATCTTCTTAATCTGGGCCTGCATTTTGCAAACTATACCCCCTCTATCTCTTTTTCTACCAGGCCCATTTTCATATTTCTTTTATTTATTTCTTTTAATTATTTATTTCTTTTAATCTTCTTTTTAATAACAATAGAAAAATAGAAGAAAAAAATCATAAAAATATAGTTTTAGGTTTTTTTGTTAAATTAATTTTTGTAGATTAATTAATAATTATTTAACCATTTTCTTTAATTTAAAATTAAATAGACTTAGACTAACTCATTTTCTATTCATAATAAAAATACCATTTAGACTAACTCACCTCTAGGGTACGCCCACTTTGGTTGCCTTTCGGAAAATAAAACAATCATGTCCCTCGAAAGTAGGGACGCTTTAGCAAAGACCATTAAATCAAAAGATCATAGTCTCTCGATGACCCTACAGTGTTGCCTTTCGGTAAATGATCTAGTCCCTTAAACAAAATTGCTAAAGCGTCTTTATATGTTGCCTTTATGATTTTACGATGACCCGCGAATATCTCTCATACATCCAATGATAGGGCTACCTACTCACTAATAGTAGGATAGCGATGTCTCAAGGATAGGAGGAAAAGAACAAACCTTTCGAGTACAGGTAGATAGCTCTTAGATGCTTACTCAAAATAAACTTTTGCACTTACACAAGACATTTCAAAAACACTTTCAAAAAAACGCTTTATCAACACTCTTGAGGACTGATACAAGAGTTATCATAAAGCGAATCACCGCATTAAGGTATTTTCAAAAATACTTTTCAAAACACACAAAAGCACAAGGTATTTTTCAAAATGAGCTAAGTATCTAAGAGCCCATAGAAAACTACGGATGGAAAGGGTGCTAACACCTTCCCTTTCCAGAATCTACCCCCCTTACTCAGAAAACTCTCGAAAAGGTCTTTTTCTGTTCTTTTCACCCTTTCCTTAATTTGGATAAAAGAAAAATCGGTGGCGACTCTTGCTTACCGCAATATTTGCGAATACAAACGCAAAATCAATATAAATAGTCGGTTCTGCCACCGTATCACACCTCCGCATGGAGGACCAGCTGTGAACGCAATCGAGGTAGTCATTGACTATAGGGCAGTTGAACGAGTAAAAACTCTGATAGATCTCCTGAAGGAATATATGTTTGAACAAGGTTTCCTTTTGGAAAATAATGATACTTTCGAGAAGACTTTACAGAAATTGGTGGATCAAGGGATAATTCGATTTGGGCGATACCATGAAGAAGAGTACGTAGATGCGATTGATGGAAATACAAATAAGCCATTGGTGATTCCTTGCCAAGGGATAAGTCTTGCCAAGAAAACTCTTGTAATTCCTTGGGGAGAATCAAGTACGACAAAAGCACCAGTGATGATACCACGCCATAGTCTAAGGATACCAGTGCTTCCAAAAATTATGATGGTAATAAGAAGGCCATCTCTTATGCCCTATGTAAGTGACAAAGCAGTACTGTGGAACTATGATACTACGGTCTATGTTAATGGTCTAAAATAAGAATGTGAACCATCAATAAGCCAAGCACCTGCAAATACAAATTTAGCAGGAACATGGGGCATGACCCGCAGCAGTCGAATATATGGTCCCGAACAACAAAAGAAAGATGATATTATGGTTAAGGATAAAGGAAAAGTTGTGAAGGAGGAAATTCAAGAACAAGAACCTCTGAGTAAGAATTTTACCAACCAAGAGGTGGAAGAATTCTTAAAAATAATCAAGAAAAGTGACTACATGGTGGTGGATCAAC